GGTCACTTGACCAGACAAAGTTTTTCACAGAAACATGCTGGAACAGCTTCTCAAAGCTCAATGCCAGCTCCATGTTCTGCCCCTCTTTGCACTGGCGTCAAATCTATTACTGCCAACCTCAGCCCCGGCTTAATTGCAACACAGGCAAGAAGGCATGGTTGCAAGGAACTTGGCAAATGAGGATAGTGAGAGAAATAAAGTGAAGACGACAGGAACAATTGATACTGCATGAAAATGAACGAGTTTTGCAACATAGAGAAACAGGTTTCCGGAAGGAAGTGGATGAGAGGCGTGGGGTACAGGGCTTTCCCCGGCGGTGGTTGTTCTTCCCATGACACTGCTCACCAAGGGGACACTGAAGTTAGCTGGCAGGAATCCTTGACCTGCTTGGGGTAAAGAATCATTGCAATGGAGATACTGAGGTTGCTTTGGTCTGCAAATGAAGCTTTTGGCAAATAGGGGGTTTAACTGGATTCAAATAGTTAGCTTTATTTGCCAAAGGGAAAAAACTCTGCTTCTTTTTGATGATACACACACAAAACACAATAAGGTTTAGTTTAAATAAATAAATTGACAACTACTGCTCTGGAGGCTCTGGATGTGAACCAGCAACAGCAGTGTTAAGCCATTTCAAAGTGGAGTGAATGCCATTTTCACACCTATTCTTTTTTAATTGAGGTCCATTTGAAATCCAAGCACCCTTCTATTACTAATTTGTTATGGCAATATTAATTAATGATTTTGCTCTACAGCAGTAAGAATGCTGTTTAGACTGAGTGAGATAGATTAGAAGGACTACAAGATTAGAAAAACAATCTGTAAACTGGTCAGATGCAGTTAGGGGTCACCTTGATCTCCTGAAATGAGCACACTGCACTTGGAAAGCCTGGGAGCGTGTGGATGTATTTCTACCAGTGCAGACTCATTAGGGCTGGTTAGGTCAGCACCCTTTGATGTTGCCTCCTATTTTGGAATATAAGAACATTAGCTCCCAAGGTGGGGAGAAACAATTGTCAGACTTCCATAAAAGGTGATAATTGAAGAAATTGCATATTATTTGATGGACAAATGATGTTCAGACCAAGTATGCTAGGAAACAAGGAGCAATATTTAGTGACTTAGAGAAGGCGCACAGTGATGCGTTGTAATTTCCATTCTCCTGACTCACTTTATCTCTGCCATTAGTTTAGCAGATCTCCAGGCTCCTATCTTGGCTACTCTGATCAACGTGGTGTGCCCAGCCTCAGACCATCAATAGTATTTATCTTGCACTTCAATGGCATAGCACAGATAAGACACCTGGTTTGAAGAAGAACAGTAGCTGGCAGATTGATGGGCAAATCTTGTGACCATTTCAGCTGGTTCTTGGATTATCTCAGCTACCTTCTGTTCACCCTATACATGGGTCCCCCATGCCATCCTTGTACCTGTATGAGAATCACAGAATTGGATCAAAGCGCTGTTGATGGCAGTAAAGAAGTCACAATCTCAATTATTTTGGCTTTAAATTATGAGATGAAAAATTTTTCCTGGTGTAAAGTGTGATATGCTTTTGTTTATTTTTTTGGTATAATTTTGCAGTCAGCCCAAACCCATTGTGGAACAATCACAGGGAAGAAAATCAGAGGCACAGCGATGTTCTTTTAAGAAAGCACCCATATTGTAAAGTGCTCACAATTTCATGGTGGGTTTTCAGCATTGGCAGGTGAGGGGCAGGAGAGACAGCTGAAGAAGCAAGTTGGACTGCAGCTGCCCCAGGGAATTAATCTATTTCTGGATTTGCTATTCTTGCATTTCTTTGTTTTGCCTGAATCAGAAGAGATCAAGGTGGCAGGATTTTACATATATGCTCTGCATTTCCTGGCAGTTCAGGAAGCCTCCCGTGTAGGCAGCACCTCTCAGGACAGACTGGAGATTATGGTGTCTCTTTTGACATTTTACATTG